GCACGTTAACGATTGATCAAGAGGGCTCTTTGTTTACGTGGCGTTTGTCCAACGGCGGATTCCATGCAGGCCGCCAGCGATCCTTCACCCAAGCGTGGGTTTAGGGTTCAGGGGCTTGGGGCTGAGGGTTTAGGGTATATTGATTTCATTGTTTATATGGTTCCAGAAAAACTTTCCTGGTTTGAGAGCGCTGTGAATGCAAAGACGTCTACGAACCTTCCTGAAAGGAAGACCAAGTCGAAAAACTGCAGCATCGAGCGCCAAAACACGAAACACTCAATCATGCATGCAGCAACTGCAATTTTCATCTATTCAATCTATGGAGATTGAACTTCTTGCAGTCTGTAAAGAAAACCTAGGGCACGACCGGAGTCAAGTGCAAAGCATGTACTTCTTTGGACCAATACCCTTGTATTCTGTAACCCTGCCCGTCCATCACACCTGAACCCCGAGATCTACCCAGGGGATCTACAACCCGCAACAAACTCATGGCGTGAAGCAACCTGGTATAGCATCAGACAGCGGCTGGGGCTGAGTTGAAGAGGTTTGAAGGCAACAACTACAGAACGTTTAGATGTGCGTCTTGGACACCATGAAGAAGTCTTGCAGCTATGAGTTGCGGCAAGATGAAAACACGATTCGGATGGACCATGGCCCAATAAAAGCGACCACGAACCATGAGGCCCCAAACTATAACTATAACTTCTCCCCCATGCAGACATGCCCAGCAGCAGCAACAACGCAGCTGCAACAGCGGCAGCACCGCCACCACCAACGTAGATATCACACTGAAACTGATGCTACTACTACCAGTATTCTGATTACTAAGCCTTGCAACCCCCGTGCACCATGAGCCCGCCCCGACAGCAAAGGGAAAGCTGCCGGCTGTCCTGCGCCTTGGGAATGCGTGGTCCTGCAGCATCTGTAGTCTTGATGGGACACTACTTAAGCAAAGACACGTGCAATGTCTTATCCGTTCGAAGAAATGCTATGGATGGCTCTCCTTACCGCCGCTCACCTTTCCGAAAGCACACACAGCTTTCAGCAGTGCCCCGTGCATCATGCACCCGTAAATCGACGTGGATGAACAAACTTTTGTCCCCTTCAATAGACGATCTTCCCATTTATTCAATTCGTAGCAAGTGTCTCCTCGTCCGAAGAAGCCTCTGTCTGGTGTTGGTCCCATCTACGAGTAGCCCAAGCATAACATAAGGGCCTTAATAATTAGAAGAGGGTTTGGGGACCCATTATACTGTAATTATACGAAAGGAACCTCCAAAACAGTATAGGTAAATACTAAGGCCCTTATATTAGACACACAAAGCTTAAGTATTGCTGTGCAGGTGCAATATTCGTTCAAGTCATGTTCGTGTTGTGCTCCAATTTCTAATCTCGTCGTCCTAAACAGCCGCAAAACCCAACAAATACGAGCACCAGAACCTACAAACTGCATCCTACAAAACCCCTGAATCTCAAAGCCCTGCAAACCCTGAACCCTCGTACAACATACAGGCCCTGAGCCAGAAACCCTAATGTTTGTGCACGCGTGGAACCAAGAAGAAAGCAACATGTTCCAAACTCCTTCGGAGTTCTATTGTCACACGAAATAAAAGCAACAAGTCCTAAGAGCACTAAAGAATATAGTAGAAGCCAGAAAAATGGAACATAATTATCCTCATGCCCTCAAGGCAACGTAAGTTGGGATCCTGGCACTAATCCTCCTAAAGCCATGTTCCAACTTTCTGGCTTCTGCTGTATACTAGCACAAGAAGCAGACTTGGTGGGCCTTTCTGCGGTCGTAAGTCGGCCTCCTCCGCTTTTCTCGTGGCATGCTGGGTCTCCAGGAAGCCTCTCCGACCGGATTTCGACTTCAAGGTCAGGGTTTAGGGTTTAGGGATTAGGGTTTAGGGTTTAGGGATTAAGGATTAGGGTTTAGGGATTAGGGTTTAGGGAAAAGGGTTTAGGGTTTAGGGTTTAGGGATTAGGGATTAGGGTTTAGGGTTGGGGTCAGGGCTTGTGGAGTAGGGTTTAGGGTTTACGGCTTCAGGGCTTCGGGTCGAGGAAAAAGGCTTCAGGCCGAACATTTCGAGGTGCTCAGTGTCCCCTCATGGGGTCGCCTGACGCTTCGAAATCGAGACTGGGAGTCCGCTCCATCATCAACAGCAGGCGCTACAAAAGTCATGCAAGAGCAAGCAAGAAGGCATCAGACAGGAAATTGCAATGTTATAAAATCCCTACAACACGATGACTGACACGAAAAGCAGTAGCTGCGCTTGGACCCTCCCGCACCTAGGAGGTCTTCCAAGGAGGCGTCATCATGGGTTTTGCTGCGGGCCTTGCCGTTCAGGACGCGGGGAAAAAGTGGATAGGGTTAGATGTAGCACACATATAGTCTCCATTGTAGTTCCGACTGAAGGGCTAACCAAAAATTGTAGCATAGGGTCCTAACCATGAAATAAAATTGGTTAACCAAAAACGGTGCTACAATGGATACTTACTTATAGGCAGGGTCATATCATCTTTTAGGGCTGTTGGAATGCCAGAAACTAACTGATGGAAGTACCAACGAGGTCTTAAGCTCAAACTTGGAACATACTTGTCCTCATACCCTTACGGTATCTCAGCATGAATCATTTTAAACCCACGTTCCAGCTTTCTGGGGTTCACTATAACACCCAAACCCTACACCCCTAAAACACATGGGTGGCTGTCAAAATCATGGTCCCTTTTTGGGTACCCTAAACATTAGGCGCCGTATGATATTGCTGACCCAAAAAGGGACCCCAATTTTGACAACCACTCACTTCGCAGTTTAGGGCTTAAGGTTTCCTTCAAAGGTTCCACAAGGGATCTATAAAAGGATCTATAAGGGTCCTTTTTGGGGGTTAGGGGATCTTTGGCCTGAGAGCCTCAGATTGGTTTCTAGGCCGGTGGAGACCTGAAGCTCGAAGATGCCCGAACCAGGGACTACGGGGGCCTTAATAACTACTACTATTTGCTTAAGAACCACAAAAAAATAAAAGATATATTCCTTATGGGGGTAATATAGGGATTATTATTTTTATTTTTGGGGGGTTTCTTAAGCAAATAGTAGACTAGAATCCCAAAGGGTCCAAGTATCATTATGGTATATACTTAGACCCCCAAAATACGTTAAAAAGTATAGACCATAATGATACTTGGACCCTTTGGGAATAGGGTTCAGGGTTTCAGGCTTTGGGATGAGAGGGCTGAGTAGTGTAGGGGCGTTAAGACTTAGACTAGGGTTTTCGGGTATATTTTGTCTTAGTTGGGGATTGATCAGTATGATTGCTCCGATGAGTGACCGTTGAATGCCCGCTGCGTCCGCCCTTGCGCACTCTTGCACGTTTCTTGCGCGCACACACACACACCAGTTTTACACACGTGCATCTCGTATGATCATGCACTATAGTATCTTGGATACATCAGCATGGCCCATCCGGCATCGCATGCGCTTCGGTTCGGGCTGGAGGCTTAGGAAAGGAAGGTTCCAAGATCCCAATCGGTTTTTTCCTGCGGGCGTTGTGCAATTACATTATGTTACATACTGATATATCGCCATATTACTGCCCTTGCGCACTCTTTGGCCCGCCCTTGCGTGTTCTTGCGCGCACCATATTTTCAAGGCAGTTTCAATAGTGACAATAAGAATAAACCGCCTCCGTAAAGCAAAGCAAAGAGACGGGGGTTGAGATCAGCCCTCAGCCCTCAGTTGTAATATCCCTCCAAGGACCTCATAGTTAGGCCCCTAGACCCCTTAAGGACCCCATAATAAGGTCCCTGGAACCATAAGGAGTCTATAGGTATTTGTTTAGGCCCCAAGCAGCTGAATCTAGAACGCTTTGGAACACCAGTTTTGCATCCCGGCAGGGGATAGCATTGTAGCACAGCAGCCGCCGCTGAAGGCTTCTGTATGTTGCACTACCCTACTGGAAACCCGAAAGCCCAAACTCTACACATTGTGGTGTCCTAGGCACACTTCACTCTTGCCTGTAGAGCTGCGGCGGCAGCAGGAGGCTAAGGGCTCCGAATACTGATTGTAGCCGTTCGTAATTCGAAGAGCTTTGTTGAGGAGTTGGTAGATTATACCACGTTCATAAAGGGACCATAATGGGTAAATGTTACTACACGTTTCGACTACGACGACGAAAAGATGTCCTGGAGTCTCAAGCTTTTTGCTCATGCCAGTTACGTTCTCCACTAAGTCAGCAAGCCTACAATGAAAATTGGGAGACACAAAAGATCGAAGGAGCTGAGGTTTGGGGACGAGGTTTATAGATGCCGATTTAAATGGCATGTGGCAGCATGTATTTGACTGTTCTGCAGATGAGTGCACTGAATGAACCGGAATTGCATCGCTTAGGAGGCGGCGGCACTCGCAGCAGTCGCCATCTCGTCTCTTCGGAGGAGGGCCGCTCCGGTTCTGTGATCTTTGTTGCTCGAAAACTGACGCCACGGAATATTATGGGCTTGATGTCTTCTAAGAACGGATCACAATATTTGCTGTTTAAATCCAAGTAAACTTAAACTATCAGCTGAATCGGGTGTATAACAGGTCCTTGCTGTAACTGCTTCATCTGCATGCGACCTGCCTACCTGAATGCAAAATGGCGAGAGGTGTGCCGGGAAACACTATCCTGCTGGAGACTCTGGCTACAAGGCTTCACAAACTAATTCGTTGTGATCAGCAAAGCTCATAATGTGAGTGTGTGTGTGTGTGTTTGTATGCCAAGCCCAATGCATGCATATGCCATCACCTTCAGGCCCTGCCTGTCCGTGGGTTACATAAACCAAGAATCATTACAACATGATGTAACCAGGTCCATAACTGTGTAGGGGCCGTAATGACTCGAATAGGTTTGTGGCGCATACTCTAAAAGAAGGCACCCAGGAACTAGTATAGCGAATTATTAAGGCTCAAAGGGACCCTAACCCCCTAAGTAATAGTAGGTCATGCGCATCATCCCTCCCAGGCACACCAGCCGACGTCGGTCGGTTGCCCCCTGGCCGGGCGCCTTTGACCAAGAAGCGCAGCCGAGCAATTAAGCTTTGCAGGGTTTAGGGTTTAGGGATTGGGGTCTCTGTTTACGAACGATGCCAACCCTGAAATTAGATCCTAAACCCTAATATACCGAACCCTAAACCCCCAAGATACCGAGGCCCTAAACCCTAAACGAATCCATGCGGCCTCCTAAAACCTAAAACCCAAACTGACTCAAACCTCTGCCGAGGTGTAGCCTCGACCTAACACGCGCCACCTGAAAACCTAAAGCTCGTGGGTCTAGATTATGGGGTCGCATACAGGAGCTACATAGTGTATACTAATTGAGTCAAACAATATACCTATATATATATATATATACATATGTAAATACTTATATGATTTGTAGTACTTTGCTGCCATATTATGAGTCCAGGGAGTTTAAGTCTTACGGCAGTAGCGAAAGCGGCAAAGAACGATAAGCTGAATCCGTAGGTCTTGAACCCCATGGCCGGGAAAGAACGAACAACTTAACTCTAAACTGTAAACCTTGCATGCCACAGCAGTGTATGATATCTCTGCAGAAGTTTTGTTGAATAATTCTCATGGACACAGGCTTGCAGAAAAGCCAACAAAACCGGAAGACTCCAACAGCAGAAAGGACAAGCAGCGCTAAACTAAAAGTGTCAAACTGATCTTTCTGAATTATGAACTAAGGAGTGCGAAATCATCTAAACCCTGACTCATCTTTCTGAATTATTGACTAAGGAGTGCGAAATCAGCAAGCTAAAGCCTAAATCATCGACCTCTGGCACTTAAACCTCACCGCCGGTCCTCCAAAATACACCAATGATCGTGAGTTGCAGGAAAAAACTGACGGTGTTGTTGCAATATTCCCGCACCGTACCGACTTTTACCTCTGCACCTAAAAGGAACAAGCTGACGATAGAACTCGAGGTTTTAGACATGCACTGGTATGATATCATAATCAGGAGCTCCCCTATCACTACATCAGTGACATAAAAAAGTTCAACCATTCCCACAACAAACAAAGGCCTCCTGTGCCATGCCACTACAGCAGGCCGGTATGATAGATATGGCTTTCAAGCTCCTCACCACCACTGCCTCGAACCCTAACCCCAAAATCAGCTTAAGCTCTGCATTCCAAAAACCTTAAGCCTTTAAGCCGAAAAACCTTAAAGCAAACACCCTAAGCAACCTTAATAAGCTCGAAGTTCTAAACTCCCGCAGACCTTAAACCATGTCATGGCCAAAACCATCAAGCACTAAATGTCAAAAACTTGAGCCCCTGACTTTCCAAGGCCATTAAACCTCCAAAACTTACACCATCCCATCTCCAAATCAGTAAACCATCAAATCTTCGAAACCCTAAACCCCTAACCCCTAAACCCCTAAACCCTGAACCCTAGACCCTAAACCCTAGACCCTAAAACCCTAACCCCTGAACCCCTGAACCCCTGAAACCCTAAATCTTCGAAGCCTTCAACTCGAAGTCCTACCGGGGCCCTTGCTTCCTGGACGGGACTCCGACCGACTCCTGTCCGAAGCAGGTCCATTCATCTATGGCTGGGTGTTCAGGGCCCTCTTTTTGTGTGTGTTTTTAAGGGCTCTTTCACGGGTTTTGCGTTTTCTCTTTTGGTTTTAAGGTTAGTTGAGGGTTTGGTATAGGATATACGGTTTACAGTTTTGCTCAAGATGCCGAGTAAAAACTGAACCCTACACCCCAAGTCGTAGATCAAAGAACAAAAGCCCTTCAGTTCTTATATTATAGTAGAAGCCAGAAAGTTGGAACATGATTCTTCATGCCTCTAAGGCATAAAGGATTCTAGCACTAATCCTCCTAAACCCATGTTCGCGGTAAGGCTTCTCCAGCCAAAGCCTTCAAAAGCCCGCTGAAGCCCTAGTCTGGAAGGTTGCGAAGCGGAGGATCTCAGGCACCTCCATTCTCTTCATGTGCAGGTTTTAGGATTTAGGGTTGAGGGTTTAGGGTTCAATTTTGTTCATGTCAGTTGAGTGGTTCAACTTCGCTGGCAGCAGGCAGCTGCCTCTGAGAATTCAGAGCGGGTCAAAACCCACCCGACCTCCGACACAAACCTTGTTAGGTCTGCCCATGCACATGCGTCTCATGCACTCATGGTAGGATGCTGGTACAGCTTGGGGACACACAAAGTTGTCCATTTTCTCCAGGGTAACTCCATTCATGAGGATGACCGTCATGTCACGTTGACCGCAACCGGGCCAGCTTGGGTACTGCCCTCACAGAGTAACAGTCTACAGCAAGGCTGCCCTTAATTATGCATCTAAATTCATGTATTATTCAACTGTTTCTGAGTGGGTGCAATATCCGAAACCCACCTACCATGCATAGGCAACCCATCACCTACTATACCCGATACCACGCACCCAAAAACTCTAAACCATACTCCATTTTCCAAAACCCTGAACCCCTCAATCCCGAACCGAAAACCGCACGTCCGCAAACGCCCAAGCCTACATCCTACTGGTCCTGACATCAAAACCTGAATCGCAAAACCCCTAAACGCTAGATACATGCTCGAAGTACAACCTAAACTCAACAAGCTCTCAAATCCTTCCAGCCCGAGCTTCTCAACCCCCTTACAGGCCTCTTCTATCAAATGTAGCCCTTACTGGGTCCTTACGCTAGCCCTGAAAACCCTAAACACCCCTTTTTAAGATGCCACAACCGAGGCCGCGACGCTCCAGCGCTCGAGGGGCGCAACTGGCCAAGGATAAGGTTCATGGTTTGGGGTGAGTTTGTGGGTGTAGGTGTGGGTGCCGGACATAGGGGTTAGAATAGGGTTCTGGACTATATTGTACTATAAAATTAATGGGTATGAACCCCCCAAATAGCCCCTATAGTAGGTGTTTAAGCTTTAAGGTAGGCAGTCGCATGGTCTTTTGGGGTTTTTTCAAACCTGGCGTAAAGTTTGTCTTGGAAAGGCATTACAGGATTTTCGTTGAAGGTTGTTCATCAGGTGATAGGGTTGTATACGGGTATAAGGATGTATAGGGCTTTAGATGGCTATAGAGCTCAGCTTAACATGTGAGAGTTTCGAAAATAGGGGACCCTAATATAGTACCCTAAATTGTAGGATCCTTATTGTAAGGACCCCAAAATAAGGTACCCCCCATTTTCGGAAACTCCCATGTAGTGTTCCTGCTTCAGGGTTGTGGCATTTCAGGCCGGCTCGGGGATTGGGGTTGGGCGATTGAGGCTTTTAAAGGGAACTCCAGGAAGTTGGAATATGGTTTCAGGGTAGGATACCCTATAATTTACCATAAAGGGTTCAGGATAATCATATTCCAACTTTCTGGCTTTTACTTTAGGGTTTGGGGCCTTGTAGCTGGGTATGCCCTGACCCCTAAGCCCTGAATCCATAGTACCATCAAGTCCATCAAGCCCAGCATCACACATCCCCTAAACTTGAGCCCGAAACCACAAAGCCCTGAAGACTAAGATCGTCATCCAAGAACTAAAACTACAAGCACTACACCTGCGATCCCATTTTGAAAAAAAAACGAAAAGCCATGCTTATATGTATATATATATACACACACACATTGAAACGTGCAAGAGGATAAGTGCACGCCAGCAGCACCCGTGCCCCGAAGAGCTCGGATGTCGAAGTCACTGTCGAGTGCGACGAGCCTGAAGCCCAACTTGCGGAGTTGCGAAAGTCAGAGAGACTTGATTGAAGTTCCTTTGATAACGATCCTACAGATTCGGGATCGACAGTTGCATCCTGCCTGCCCTTCGAAACCTGAGACTGCGAAACGCTCAGGGCTGGGAAAAGGGCGATCTTGGAAATCAAGGGTTTTAGAATAGCTCTTGAGCCATCAAGGCTCCGACCTCATGCGGACCCCTCTGCCTGCTTCGAATCTGTGTGCTCTGTGTGCACGAGATTAAAAACTGGTATAGCCGTCCCACGCCAATTTCTTTGCCGTCCCCGCCTGGACGCGGAAACCGGATGCTAAAAGTAAGTCACAAGTAGCAACAGGTTGCAGAATTCGAGTCTCAGTGCGTAATTAATACGGTCGGTCTCGATAGCTGCGGAAGGCCATGAATCACCGAGCCAAAATTGCATCTGAGCCGCTGCTGGTCGGTCGCTCTCCGGGCTTGCCTGCAACGCAGGGCCAGGGCAATCACGTGGCCCACTGGGCCCTTCGTGTGGAAGTCGGAGAATGGAGTCTATCGACCACACATACTATAGGGTTCAGCGCACATGCCAACAATCAATGTAGACTCCTCAAAGAGTATCCCTATCCCTCCGAGGACCTCATAGTTAGGCCCCTATAGGGTATCTCCTACTGACTTCCAACCTTTTCAGCCCTGCGGCGAAGCCTGAATCCTGAGGGGCAACAGCGGCGAGTCGCTGCCGTGAGCGGGCACTATCCCATAACACCCCAAGTCCGGTTTCGGGTTTAGGGTTCAGGGTTCAGGGGCAGGAGCATCACATCGTCTGCAAAGCTCAGTGGGTAGTCTTGATCTCTATTGAAGCCTGAGCACTACATGTGAAGTCTGCCGCGCCTGCAGTTTCGAACATCGAAGGGGTCGGCCTTGCACGACTGGAGTTTGGGAACTCTTGATATGCTTCAGGGTTTAGGGGTTTGGGGTTTCCTTGTTATAAGTGAAGTATAACATATTCCTAAACCCTATTCTGCTAATTAAGGCTCATTTATTACATATGGATCCCTTGTAGCCCCTTTAAAAAAAGCCCCTTTAAAGGAACCGTATTCTAATTATTAAGGACCCTATATTTTAGAACCCTACCCCTGGGGTTTAGAGCCCCAGGCCTGACCATATGATGGGCTACAAAGCTTAGAGCTTGCACCCCTAAACTTGGCCTGAAAACCCTCAAACCGAGCACTCGGGTTTAGGGCGTAGGGACGCATGATGCCTGCCTGTGAAGCCAGCAGATGCCAGATTTGCCACTTGGAGGGTCTATCTTCAACCACCCCAAGCTAGTTGCGAGAGTAATCCTAGTTTCGAGCGCAAGACAGGATTTCTTCGGAGGCCTACATACATGTCTGGGTTCTTGTCAAGGGATTTTGCCACAATAAGGAAACAATATTATTTACTATACATCCCCATTATGGTACTTTAAACCCTTTACCCTTAAAGGAACCCTTATGGATCCCGGAAAGGAACCCTGAAAGATCCCCATTATGGTACCTTAAATTACTTTCCTTAACAAGAGCCGAGCCTGGAAGGGCTTGAGCCTTTGGGGCATACTCAACTCCCTGGTGCTTAGTAGGGAATGGGGGAATGGATTATGGAGACTGTTACTATTCTTGGGAGATTATATAGGGGCTGCTATAGGGATCCACTCCTCCATTCCCTACGAAGCCCCAGGGCGTCAAACTATCTCCAAACCCCTGTCGACATAAGGTTAATTTCAAGGGTCGGGGGAAGTTCAGGGTCTGAGGGCTATAGGCTGTAGGGTTTAGTTAGAGGGTTTAGAGGGTTAACGGTTTAGAGGGCTTATTAGACTTTAGGGTTTTAGAGTTTACAGGCAAGTTGTGTAGAAGCTCCGAGAGTACCCGCAGCACCCAACCTGGAAAAGACGCTGCTGGGCTCAGCATCGAAGTTGTCCTCAACTGTAGCGCAAAAGGGGTTTAAGCTGTTCAGGCTTCAGGGTTTAAGGTTTCGAGGATGAGGATTCAGGCAAGGCTTTAATTGAAGAGCTATGAGCGATAAACACTTGTAGAGTTCTGCTTATGGTTTGAGAGGCTTTTGCAGAGTTGTACACAGTCTTGGTTGTCAGTTATTGATTCTGAGCTGATGTGCAGTAGGCCTTGGCTAAGATCAGGCTTTCGGATTCTGCGGTGTTGCATCGCTCGGGAGCTGCGAGGTCTGCGGCGCAAGCTTGCGAATTCGCGGGCATCCCTTCATGATCAGAACTTGATTAACAATTCACTAATAGACTATTGTAGCTAAGTAGCCCATGAGAGTTATACTAAAAGTACTCTAATAATCTGTCACATATATATATATATATGAACTGTAGCAGGGCACTCAAACGATAAAAGACAAGCTCTCCGCAGATCCTCGCGTGGTAACATACCGCTGACCACGTGCTCGGAACACGGTTTGAGACCTGGACCGGTTTAGGGTTTTAGGGTTTAGGGTTTAGCAAGTTGTTGTAGGAGCCTTTCACAAGTACTTTTCGCTAACGAGCACAAACCCCAAATCCAAGCATTCCGCACACAGTATAGCGCCTTGGCTAATTCGCATCGACTTCACGACAGATTCATGATTGGGGCTATGAAGGAAGAGTCTTGCTAACGATTCCAACCCCGATGTTGGGTAGGTCTAGTGGGTCGCAGAAGCCGGTGGTTCAGGGGACCTGAAAACTCCAAAACCATGTAGTCACGAACCCTAGTATGTGATTTAAGGGTTTAGGGTTTGTTCCTTGGTGCAAGAGCCTTAGAGTTCGCAGCTATCTCGGCTTGGAGTTCAGGGTTCAAAAGCTTAGAGGCTTCGGGCGCAGGGTCTATACGGCTTAAGGGCTTAGTGTTGTAGGGTTGATTAGTAATTAGGGTTACAGGCTTTGGAACCCCCAAACCCTGAACCCAGAACTCTACACCTAAACTCCAAACCCTAAACCCATAGCCCTAAACTCCAAACCCATAAGGGCTCCTTTAAGGGTTCCTTTTTGGGGTTCCTTTTTGGGCTTCCTTGAAGGGATTTAGGACTGTCCGAAAATTAGGGGACCCTAATATAGCACCCTAAATAGTAGGATCCTTATTATACGGTCCCCTCAGAATAAGGTACCCCTAATTTTCGGATTAGGGCTACTCCACTAAACTCCTCGTCTTCATCCTCGGAGGAGTTTTCGTCCACCGTCGGCAGCATGCCGGCCTGACCCCGCCAACATAATATAGAGGCCAGGCCTTAATAACTAAAACAAAGTTTTGGGACATCATGTGGTATAGATATACGATAGAAACACAGTATAATTAGAACTTTACGGAACCCGTACGAAAGTAGTATCTAGTACTAAGCACGCAGGCTCCTACATCAACCTGGTCCCTCGTCCCAGGGACCCTTCGATGGCGAGGAGTGCATCAGAGCTGATCCCACCATATTTAATACGAGTCACATGAGGGTTTAAGGTTTAGGGGTTCGGGCTCAGCGCTTTGGGTTGAGGGTGGGTTTAGAAATGTGGGATCCCATGACACCATACCTTTTTGAGGCTCATACCCTACACCTGTTTGCGATACCTACATTTCTGTCTAACAGAGCCCAACAATACAACTAGGAACCCCCAAAAAGGGGTAATTAGGGTATGACCTTACAGGTAGATCCCAAAACACTGAGAAGTGCCACAGTTTTCAATCAGGTCTTGCCATTACTTCTCGGTTGTACTGTGGTTGTGCAGCCACAAGGTAGCACTCCACGTAGGTGCAAAACCCTCAGCTCCACCGAGTGTCTCTGTTAAACCGTACACCCTAAACCCCATTAACCTGAAACCCCAAGCCCACAAACCCTAAACCCTAATTTCACAATCTCCACGTTTTGACAGTTGTGAACGACAACAAGGAATCAAAGGCCTGGCGCATTCCAAGGTCGTTGAAGATTGCATCTCCCTCCTCTCCAAGGCTTGCGCTCAGGAGTTTCGGGTTCACGGCGGTTTAATCTGGGTTTAGGGAAGCTCGGTTTTTTTTATCAAATTGCCATCTAGTGCCGGACTGCGGAAATGCGGAAACGATAAGAAGTACCGAGACCAGGAAACTCTCCAACTCGAAGCGCGAGGGGCTGCTTCTCCACTTTCTCGGCCGTCCATCGGGATTTAAATGCTCAGGTCTCATGGTCGACGGCAAGCATAACGACTAAAATCCTGATCCCTCAAGTCCCTCAAGACCCTTCACCCAAAAAGCAGCACTGCTATCTCTGAAGGGTCTATCGCGTCCTCGATGACCTTCATAGGCTCCTCATGTGATGGCCAGGATGGACGTTCATTAGCAGCGTGACGGAGGAACAAACACAGCTAGCAGTCGCAGTGACAAAAGCAGTACTCGTGGGAGCAGTCGTGGTAATGGTGGTAGTGGCAGTGGTGGTATGGTAGTAGTAGTAGTAGTAGTAGTAGTAGTAGTAGTAGTAGTAGTAGTAGTAGTAGTAGTAGCAGTAGTAGCATCAGCAGAGTAGCTGGTAGTGGTACAGTAGTGGTAGTGGTAGTGGCAGGGGCATTGCAAGTGGCAGTGGGAGGAATGGAAGTGGGGGTGGTGGTAGTAGTGGGAGTGGTAGTAATTGTAGTCGTGGTAATAGTGGTAGTAGCAGTAGTGGTAGCAACAGCAATAGCAGTGCAGTAGCAGTAGCAGTAGTCGTTGTCGTGGTCGTATTAGCAGCAGTAGCAGTAGCGGTAGCGGTAGCGGTAGCGGTAGCGGTAGCGGTAGCGGTAGCGGTAGCGGTAGCGGTAGCGGAAGCGGTAGCGGTAGCGGTAGCGGTAGCGGTAGCGGTAGCAGTAGCAGTAGCAGTAGCAGTGGAAGTAGCAGGAGCAGGAGCAGGAGCAGTAGCAGTAGCAGCAGTCGTAGTAGAGAACATTACTAGTAGCAGGCGCAAAAGTTAGAGCCGAAGAGGGATTTCAGGTTTACGGTTTGAGACGCCTTTGGGACTTCAATCCTAAGCCCTCAAACGCTTAGGGGTTGCGGTTTTTACGTGCTCTCGGCTTTGAGTTGTAGGGCCTGCGCTTTGAGGTTTAAGTTGGGCCATTGGGGGGTCTGTACGTCGATGATCATGTTGATGGATGAACCCAAATACAAAAATTGTATGTTTATTCGAACTCAACCCTTCTACAACCTTAAACTAATCATGGGAAGGTGGACTTCACGGCCTGCCTGAATGTTTCTAGAAATGGATAGTAGCCAAAGAATAGTCGTGATAATGATAGCAGTAATCCTAACGAAGTAATTAATAACAATAGTCATAACAATTTGGTAGAACTAACAACTTGAAGTTTAGCGTTCAGGGAGGATGGATGGGGTTCCTCGCTGCTTTTGGTCTGCGGCATTAACGGGATCATTGACGTCCAGCGACAGGTGTCTTCATGAGCCCTCGTTCGCCTTCTCCTGCTGCCTGCGCCAGGAGGCAGCCTGATTCCAGGCGTTTTCCACCTCCTCCTTTGAGAAAGTCTTCGGCCGCGCTCTGAAGTGCTTCAGTTGAGCCCCGACTGTGAATCGAGCATGCCAGCACTGCTCATTGAAGTCCCACTTCACTCCTGTGTAGTCACCATGTTCCAGAAAAAATGCTGTTGACAAAGCTAAGTTTCGGTATAAGTATGCAACAGGATCGCCGACTACTTGCAGCCCGGAAGTTCACATGGTAAACATGACAGAGACGAGGCGGGGACTGCTGCCAACATCATCGACATTCCGCGCATGGAACCAATGCTTATGGTTTATTATACGGCCAGCAATTGGACATGAAACCCGGCAACCTACAAGGTTCGGACATAGTTGGTCCTTTCTGCGGCGATAGCGGCTCAAATCGGCATAGCTCTGAAAGCTTCTTCACGGGTACCACCTGGAAGAAACATCACTTCTGTGTAGTAGACCATCTAAATATGGGAATAAGTATACTGCATAGAACTGTAATAGCTATACCCGATCGTGTACTAGTATACTACATAGTAAACATCATAAAACAGTATCCTACCTGCAAATCCTGCTGCACCCTCTATCCCACCCACCTCACTCTCAGCTTGCAATCCAAACTTCTTCGCGATCTTTCGGGCCTTGGCCTCTGCATCCTCCATGGTCGCAAATGCTTTGTAAAACAGCTTCTTTGTGATTGGATTTGTCAGTCTTACCTGCCATGCTTTTCCTTTCTTGTGGACGCCCCTCACCGTGGAAGCTTTGACGGTGATGGGCTTGGCGGGCTGCAGCTTGCCTTGACGCACCAGCTCTTCACGGAGTGCCTTGGCCTCGTCAAGGGCCTTCTTCACAGCATCCTCCTCGCCAAAGCCCAGCTTCAGAAACTTGCAAATCGAAAACAGAGTCCTGTTCCTTTTCATCCCATCATGCCAGGACACCTGCCAGCCCAGCGTAAGTCTCTGCCAGCTAATGTGTTGAATGCCGCTCTGGCGCTCGAGTCGCCTCATTGCAGTGTCTGCTGTGGTTCTGGAAGCATGTGCAGGGATATTGATCTCTTGTGTTCCTCCGTGTCCCTGCTGCAGCAACTCGTCCACTGCACTTTTGATGGACAGCCAGACATTCCCAGCTGCAGCAATTTGAATCTCACCCACATTACATTCAAACTTGCCGATTTTGGCCCGGACATACTGGAGCACGTCTTCAATGTTGTGACAGTCGAATCGTTTCCTCCGCCAGGAGCGCAAAGCCTGTAGCAACAGCAGCCTCGCTCGTCGTTGTACATCCACCTGCTGACGTGAGTGCGGACACCGAGATTCCACAGCCACCAGTGGCCCTTCTGATCCTTCGCATTCAGCCTCCTCCTTCCCTGTTGCGTGTCTGCGAGGTGTGGAAAGGGCGGCGGCAGCCACATGGACTACCTCAACAAGCTCGGCGGCACTGGCATTCCTGTGTTTGGCTGCCTCCTCAGCCTGCTGCAGGCGCTGCGTTCTCTGAGCACTATCCAAGAAGCCCCACTCGTTGATTTTCCGGAAAAGTTGCAGATGCTGTGACGATGATTTTGGGTCGTCCTGTTCCTCTTCTACAATCTCCTCCTCCTCCGGCAGCATGCCTTGGACAGCCAAGCCACCATCAGGCAACAATGAATCTGCTGCCGCCCCAGCCTGCATGTCAGGTCTGACTGCAACTTTGTTTGCCGGCTGCCTGCAGCAGCGAAACTTCTGAAAGCTGCGCCTCAGCTGCTGTTGTGTCTCTTGCCAGGCCTTGCTGGCCTCACCAGCTGGAACGCGTCGAAGCGCGGCTTGCACGTCTGGCAAGACCTCCCTCAAACGCGCAGGTAGCAAGCCGGCTCCCAACTTGTCTATGAATTTCTGGAGGAGCTGGAGCTCATCGATATCTGGGATCCGGCCTTGTGGGCCATATGCGATCCACGCCGCCACGTGGGCGGCATGCTTTCGCATGGCTGCTTTGTCAAACCGGTCTGCTTCGTGGGAGTACTTGCTGATCCTTGGCTGCACATGAAGTTTCAAAGCATGAGTCCACTACCCATTGGCTCCATAGTAGTTCCTTTTTTCACAACTAGAATCCTATAAGGTAATGCCCAAACGGAACTACTATGGAGCCGATGGGCATATAGTATATGGTAGCACGCTGCGATTGCTGACACTTTCCAGTCGCACACTACAACTGCAGTCACCGACTGCAGCTTGTTTTGCACCAAAATCAGAAAGGGTGACTGACAAGCCTGGTCTCACCAGCGACTGGCGACGACAACGATGATACTTGCCAGCATGCAGCCGCAACCGTCGGCTGTGCCCCATGGCGCTCGGACACGCTATCCCTGGCGACCGTGCCACTAAACTTATAGTGCTATCATACTCTTTTAGTATTATAGTACTATTCGTAGGTTCTATTAGACAGGTATCATACTTATCATACTTCTTTGTTCTATAGTACTATTCGTAGGTTGTGTTAGGTAAGCTACAAGCAGAGGAACCAAGTAGGCCAAGCTGTACCGAAGCTGCCTCGCCAACGCACAACTGGACAGCATACCGGTCTACATTGTCAATCGCTCACTCTGTAGTTCACCCACTCCGTGGTCGCAAAAAAAAAACACAAGAGTCACAGCAGTGGACGCTCAACGGCAACAACGAAAGGTAACACGAGATGGAAAGGGGGGTGGGGAAATCCATGTTATGCCAAAGCGCCTGATACAGCAGGGCCAGCTACGCATAGCACAAGCGAGCATTCTCGCATCTGACTGCAGTCTGTCGAAAACGATTCCTCGTTCCTTTACGGGAATCTAGGGCCCCCTAAACCCTAAACCCCTAAACCGATGGTTCCCTCAATGCTAATCCCGAAACCCAAGGGGCAAATAAACATGTATTGCCGCCATTGTAGCTTAGGAAGCATTACATATACTAGTTTTTTTTTTTTGGGGGGGGGGTGCTTATTATGGTTATAGTATACTGGGCCTCAAAGCCCTGTTCTAGCTATTAATGCCCCCACATTCTTGAAGCCTACTATAGATCCCTTATAGACCCCCCTTAAAAAAGGACTCCTTTAAAGGGAGCCCTATTCCAAATATTAAGGCCCCGATAATGGGGCGAAGCTGCCTCGCTGTCGGGGAAGTCACCGGAAGTGTCCAGGTCTTCCATGCCCGAGTCAATCTGCAAGGGTTCAGGTTTAGGCCTTTAAGGCTTCTAAGCTCTAGTGTTTTTTTGGGGGGTTTAGGGGTTTGGGTTTAGGTTTAGTCCTTTAAGGCTTCTAAGCATTAGGGCGTTTCTTTAGGGGTGTTGAGTCAATCTGCAATGGTTTAGGTTTAAGCCTGTAAGGCTGATAAGCTTTAGGCGTTTTTTTGGTGGTTTAGGGTTATTGAGTTTAGGGTTTAGGGTTTACGGTTTATAAGCTTTGCGTAGGGTTTATAGGGCTTTGGGTTTGGGGGTTGTGGGTTCAGGTTCAGGGATTCAGGGATCCGGGTTTTCCATTCCAAGGTTGCTATGGGGGGTTCTATAAAGGTATAGGGTTTAGGGCCTACCTGGGTAGTTGGTTGAAATACACATAGTTTCTATAGTCTCTATTGTGGTTCCTTTTTTTGGCTAACTAAAAACGATATATTATAGGATCCTAACCATAAAACTGGTTAACCAAAAAAGGGAACCACAATGGAGACTACAGGTTAGTTTCATGCCTGCCCTACAGTCGGCTCTGCATGCTCTACTGACTGGAAAACTCGAGAGCGGAAGCGGTATTCTCAGGGGGCTTAGTCTATGTAGGTTTAGGATTTACCAATTTACCCTATCCCTCCAAGGACCTCATAGTTAGGGCCCTAGGTCCCTTAAGGATCCCATAAGAAGGTCCCTGGAGGTTTAGGATTTAGGCTTCAGAAATGCAGAGGGACAGCAACTCCCGCATTCCTTGCCGGCTACTGAAAGGCCTCCGTCTCAAAGGGGCCGCTGGGGTCACCTCGTTTTGAGAAAATCATTAGGACCCTTAGGGGGGTAAGGGGGGGAGGGGTAGGGGGCCTTAAAACCCATAATAGGGACTTAATAAGGCCTAGTTAAGGAAGTATAGTCTCCTATTTAAGGAAGTATAGTCTCCTACCCCCCTCCCCCCTACCCCCCTACAGGTCCCTACGAGAAAGAGATGTGCTTTGACGCAAGACGAAGGCACCACTGATCGGATGCCACCCGAACTGTTCACCAAACGCTCAAAGGCGTGAGCCCGCGAGCTGAAGACACGCCCCGCACGTTTACAGCAGATGTAATAAAACAGCGATAATACTTGGACTCAGGTCTTGCAGTATAATTACAAAGAGGTGCTTCTCAGCAGCACAGGCCTGGGGTAAGCTTAACGGGAGGCCTCTTGAACCCGGAAGGAAGCTACTGTAACGGCACTCCCAAACCGTGTCCCACCACCGATGTTTTCGGCTCGGACTTTTCAAGAACGCAGGTGGGGTGTGGATACTTAAGCTTGCTACGATTTAGGACAACTAATTGCCAGGCAGCGCCAGAGCAGTCGACAAGCTTGTACTTACCGGATCTTCAACAAACTGCCACTTTCACTGACTCGCCGATTGCCGATTTGCTCTTCAGGAGCATGTGCTGTTTCATGCATGGGGAATTTCGTTGTGACAACCAGGCAACCCAACCGTTGCCCTGCAACCCAGGCCAAAAGGAAAAAGGAACCACGACGGATTTCGGGACTTCAGAGGTCATTAAGTAAATTGCCAGGGTTCAGGGTTTAGGGTTCAGTTTTTTTTGAGCCCCTCTTTAGGGTTCAGGTTTAGGGTCTAGGGTTTGAATCAAAGGTTGAATTTTTAGGAGAGCCTGGCTCAAGAGGAGCCTTCGCCGAAACGTGAAGGACAAGAAGGGCTCTGCTTTAGGATCCCAAGGCCCTCTACGACTCTAAGAAAGCCTTGGGAATTCGGGTGTTCGTAAGCTTGAGGGTTTAGGGTTTAGGGTTTAGGGAGGAGGATCATGGGACTTAGTAAGTATGGTTACAAGCTTAAGAGGCGTTGGAAGTCATTAATTACAAGTATAGGTATAGCTACCTTCATAATAACCCCGACTAGTTCCCATGATCCTCTAAGTAGATCTCCCAGAAGAAGTAACCCTGAACCTTAAAGCTTAGCCCCTGCAGAATATGATATCCACCTGACTGCCTAGAGCTGCTGGGTTCTTGTTAAGGGGTTCAATCTACGTTACCTTAATGAAGAAGCCATATTATTTCCTACAGATCCGTATTATGGCAACTTGAATTAGATTCCTTAACCCTAAACCCTTATGGAACCCTTAACGGAACTCTAGAATTATGGGAACTTAAACCCCTAAACCCTAAGCCGAACTAAATCCCTGAAGCAAACCCCAAGCTACCCTAAACCCTTATGGAACCTTCAATGTAGCTCTAAATTATGGTAACCTAAACTAAATCCCTTAGAAAGACCCCAAGCTTCTGAGCCAGGCGGCTGCTGAGGTTGGAGATCGGGCTGCCCTCCAGCGGCTCCTGGCCACATCGTGTGTAATATAAGGGGCCTTGATAGTTAGAATAGGGTTCCTTTAAAGGGGTCACAGGGGCCCTTTCTAAAGGATCGGTTTAGGGTTTAGGGTATATATAAGGGCCTTGATCATTAGAATAGGGTTCCTTTAAAGGGGTCTATAAGGGCGACTATAAGGGATCTTTTAGGGTACTACATACTTTTGGGGGCCTTAATCTATAAGGGTACTACATACTTTTGGGGGCCAAAATAATTTCACTTTGGTTCCTTTAAAGGGATCCTTGAAGGCTAGGCTATACTGGGGTTCTATGATACCGGGGGCCTTAAGAATTGTTTAAGGGTTCTAGGGGTCTAGGGTTTAGGGTCCTCTAATGTTCCGGTTTAGATACGAGCTCTACAAGGATCTAGAAGAAGGGGTTGAAGTTTCTTTAAGTAGGTTCTATAAGGGCTCCCTTAAGGGGATTCTTTGCAGGGGTTTCACAAGAGTTCTAAAGGGGTGCTAAGAGGGGACTCTAGGGTTTTGCAAGAGTGCTACCCATAGGCTCCATAATAGTCTCTTTTGGGGATTACCTTATAGGATTCTAAATATGAACCCCAAAAAGGAACTACTATGGAGCCCATGGGTGATGACTAAAGGAGCTTTAGAAGAGACTGTAGGGTTTTATGCGAGGTCTACGAGCTCCGGAGGGGATTGTATGACCTTACGGCTCTCTCCGCCTTTGCAAGCAGAAGAGCTGGGGCAGGGTAGTGGCGTTTCGGGCTTGATGTTGAGCTCCGATCCAAGCGAACCTATGCTGCCGGAAACTCTGGGAGCCGTAGTTTTCTGAAACCGCCCCCCCAAGAATACTGTATGGTTACTAGAGGGGCCTTATTGATAAGGACAGGGTTTTGGGGCCCATTGTACTATAATTATAATAAGGAACCACCAAAATAGTATGGGTAATTATTGAAGCCCGTACAGTAAGGGTTTAGGTTCAGGTTTAGAGCCCCAGTATTTTGGTCCTGGAAGCCCTCTTCACCATGGTCTCTCGCCTTGGTATGCCAGATGAGGACCCCTTGATGAAACTTTAAACCCCAAAGCCCTGAACCGTGAAACCGTAGATTTAGTTATTTCTGTATATGTACATATATATATATATGTAAATATATGTGCAAACATACATATATGTATGTATGTGTAAATATAAATTAAAATATATGTCTAATATGTGTATGTATATATATATAGAGATATGAGGATCCCTAGACTCATGTACCCCTTCTTTCAACTAGCGGGCTCTGCAAGGCCTCCTGGAGTTCAGCACTTATATATACATATATATATATATATATATATATATATATGGACTAGAGTGTTTTGGATAAAAGTTGATTTCCCTATTGGTTAGCACGGAACCCAAACTAGAATGTCCCTGTAATCTCTTCTATAATGCCCAAAACCCTGAAACCCTGAACCCCAAAGTCGAAACCCTAAACGCTGAAACCCTAAACTCTTAATCTGCATCGGGTGGGACGGCATTTCTTCACAAGCTGAAGGATAGTCCAGGAGAGGTGGACGGAAGGAGCCCTACTTCACAAACTCTCACTCGAAATCCCAGCTTGGGGTTGAGGAGTTTTAAACGCTAATTCGTGCAAACCAAACACTACAGAAAAGGCCGAGGAATTGGATTGCAAAGCGAGGCGCCTCGACACGAACTCTCACACAGAAGGAGTGTCGCTTCCAGTATGTAAAACGAGAGGGAGGGAGAGAGAGAGAGAGAGAGAGAGAGAGTCCGAGAGACTGAGTGAGTGAGTGAGTGAATGAGTGGAAGAGAGAGAGAGAGAGAGAGAGAGAGAGAGAGAGAGAGAGACAGAGAAAACGACACATGACAAAGACCACAGCACAAGATGATGATGCTGTACTGTATGAAACAATCGAACATATCCCAACAAAACAAAACTGCACACAGCATTCCGAACCCTGAAGCCTAAACACAAGGCCCCAAGTAGGATATACTTTGGCCTTAAAGTGGTCTCATATAGGTACTTTGTGCTCAAGGGATTTACTGTTTGGGACGCTTCATATTGGGCCCCAGATGATTACGAATTTGTGGAAGCTCTGAACCTTGTGTATACCTTCAGATGCCGTTTGAAAGGTGTCAAGCATGCAGCCTTGGATATGTAAAGACCGTCTAGCTGCAAGGCCCTAGAGCTTGTAAAGTTGTGCTCTAGGTCGTGTACTGAAGTGCATCTCAGATTTCTTGTGCGGAAAAGTAAGACCTCGCTTGCGTTGCCCCATGGTTTCAATCCGATAAAATTGGAACGATACGTGAAGAAGAACAGCAAGGCAGCTCCGCAGGACTGGTGTCAGTCAACAGGTTATGAGCGCCCAATCGGATGCTCGTGCTGGCACGTTAGAAGGAGAAGCTGCAGGACCGGACTACAGTCGAGCGGAAGGTCTGGCAGTGGGCGATGGTAGGCCAGGGATGCTCAACGGAGTCATGCCTGGCGGTGCTCGTCATCCCTCACCGGGTGATGGGAACGCCAGGGGAGGCAGCGTTGATCGTCCCCAAGGAGGGCCAGCTACTGTGGCTGGACAACTTGGACCTAGAGTGAGCGAAACCGGACAGGGCGCGACGTCGTACGGTGCGACTGGATCTGAGGCGAGGGGTTCAGGAGCTAGCAGTCTGGGGTTTAGTGGTGGTGTCGGTCAGCAGCATGCACAGCAGCAGCCGCCGCAACAGCTCCAACAAGAGGCTACGCAGCCTGTTCAGCAACTGCTGCAGCAGCAACCGCCGCAGCAACCTCAGCAACCAGCTACGCAGCCTGTTCAACAACCGCCGCAGCAGCTTCAGCAAGCAGCTACGCAGCCTGTCCAGCAAGCACAGCCTCAGCTAGGCCAACAAGCAGCTACGCAGCATGTCCAGCAAGCACAGCCTCAGCTAGGCCAACAAGAAGCTACACAGCATGCCCAGCAAGCAGCCACACCGCATGAGCAGCAGCTACCTCAGCCTGGCCAACAAGGAGTACCACAGAGTGTGCAACGACAGTCAGGCATGTCTCCTTCTTTGGTGTCAACTCAGCAAGACCTACAACAACCACCTTCCCAAGAACCTGCAGGTAATCCCCAAGGTGTACCTCAACAGCATACCGTGATGCCAGCCTTGCGTCTTCAAGGACCCCGTCAGCCACGCTTGGTGACAACAGGAGACCTACCACGTGGTTCGGAGCCTGAGTTACGTCAAGGGCATCACATGGAGCAACAAGCCGCAGAAGCTTTGGCGTCTGTGGATAGCTTTGTGTCGGCGAGAAGTAGTACAACGGTAGAGGGAGCTTCGAGGAACATGTGGGTGTCCTTTGGTGAGATGTTTCAGAGGCGAGTAGTGAATCCAGTGGTGACGGCTGGAAGAACATTTACTTCTACTACGACTTCACGAACTACCCCAGGGCAGCTTGAGCCGATGTTTACAGGTGAACTTCGAGAAGCTATGCAAGCCCATCAATCTCGGGACACCCTAATCAGTCCCCAGCGCCGAAGGACAGAGGAAGATGGATCTTCGAGCAGCCTCAACCAGGACATGATCCTAGAGGAGGTCCGCCGGCAGGTGCAAGTTGCGATGAGGGGAAGGGATCAAGAGGTTGCAGCTTTGAGGCACAAGAATGAGCAGTTGGAGTTGGCGCTAAAGGAAGCGAACACGGCAGTGAGAGCACAAGGAGCTGGAAGTGGAGTTCAGCCTGTTGTGACAGAGCCAGGAGAAACTTCAGCAGTGCGTGGAGTACATCCTTCTGGAGTTGCAGTAGGTGCTACAGAACTCCCGCGAGTTCCAGCCCCTCTTTTGTCTCATCCCACGGAACCTGGAGGCAACCTTTCAGGAGCAGGTGGAGGTGATCTTCACAACTGCGCGGGAATGACAGGGCCCCCAGGACTTGGGGTTCCGGGTGAGCGAACTTCGGCTACTGCGAGGGCATCTTCAGAAATCCCTGGCGTTGATAGGCGAGAGCGTGTACCTGAACCTCGAGTACAGGGAAGTGAACCTTTGCATCTCCTTGTTGAGGGGATGCGACAGCTGCAACAAGTGTACTTGGGTCGTGCGGATGCCAAGGACTCAGAGATGAAGGTTGGAAGTGCTGAGCTTCCTGAGATGCCCCCTGTCGGCCCTGAGTCGGCCGTGGCTTTTAGTGATTGGTTGTATGAAGTCGAACAGGCAGTTGGTGGTTTGAGTGACAAGGCCAGCGACTGGTTCGGCATGTGTTTGCGTTTGGCCCAGGACACCTACGAGATTTACCAACAGAGCGATCCGTTGGCAAGGTTGTCGTTGGAGCCGAAACGGAGCAGCGACCTGGCAGATGCCAAATGGTCGCGCCTTGAAAGGCGAGTCTTGACTATGCTGTTGGGAACTTTGCAAAAGGCGGCGAAGGACGATGCGGTGACGCATCGAATATCGTCGGTGCCTGCCCTTTTGTTTAGACTGCATGTGCTGTATGCTCCAGGGAGTTCAAGTGAGCGAGCGGCCATACTACGTCAACTTGAGGGCTCTTCGGCGGGCTTGGGCTTGGCCGAAACAGTGACGGCGCTCCGGAAGTGGCGTCGCCACCTTCAAAGGGCCGAAGAAATGAAGGTATCGGTCCCTGATGCTTCGTTGCTTTTGAGAAGCATTGAAACAATAGCAGGAAGAGCCATCGATGCGAACCAGGACGTGAAGTTCAGACTGGCTCTATCCCGAAATCAACTACAGCTACAGTACCGTCCCAACTACCACAGCGTCTTGAGCTACTACAACCACGTGCTAGCAGAGCTTCAACAAGCTACCCCAACGAGATCCCCACAAGGAACTCCCAGCAATCCGCCTGCTCAGGAGACTACAAAGCTGAAGGCAGCGAATGCTACTGGAGCCGGAAAAGGTGAGACAACTTCGCCTACGCGGAGGGGTGGAGGCCAGCTGGCCACGACTGGGAATAAAGTTCCGTGTCGTTTCTTTGCGGGTGACAATGGATGTACAAAGGGAAGCTCATGCAAGTTCGACCATACGTTTGCGAGCAAGGAGGCAAAGAAGGCGAAATGTTGGCATTGCGGTTCGGTGAGTCACACTCAGAAGGACTGTCCAGTCAAGGCTGGGAAGGCTTCTCCGCAAAGGCCCTCGTCATCTACTACAACGATTCCTACTACCTCCCCACAGGGTTCAATGCCAACGACGCTCAATCAGGCCGCGGTGCAGCATCAACAAGCTGTCTTGGAATCCCTGCAGGCTTCTTCGAGCTCGGGTTCCCAGACGGCGGCTTCAACTTTGGGAGCGACCGGAACAACGGCAGCTATCGGTTCAGTACCTCAGCAGCCTGTGCCCAACTCTACGGAAGGAGATGAAAGGAAGGCACAGGAGATCACCGCTCTTCTACAGGAAGCCAACGCTATGCTCAACAAGCTGACGAAGTTGCAGGCCATCCAGGTGGTCACGGATACCAGTGTGCAAGCATTGTCGGCTCAGATGAGAAGTTTGGGCATAGATGATGATGAAAGAATGGCGTTGCTCGACTCAGGCGCTTCCCATCCCTTCCGAGATCGGGCTGAACACGATGTGATGCCGGAATGCCCGGTGAGAGTGGATCTTGCAGGAGGCCAGTCGGTAACACTCCAGCAGAACCAAGCAGGAACGCTCATGCCAACAACCACGGCCAAGGACCCACAGGATGTTTCAACTATATTGCCCCTAGGGGCACTGGTCCAGACTCTCGGGTGTGAGCTTTCATGGACGAGAAGGGGCGGCTTGAAGATCGTCCACCCTCAACATGGAACACTGCGGACGGTGGTGCGTGGAAATTGCCCGCTGATTGGGGAGACCCAAGCTCTGGACCTTATCCATCAACTTGAACAACGGAAGCTCCAAGAGTTGAGACAGGCTACAGCGGAGACCTTCCTCAACACCCTGGCGCTTGAAGAGGTGAAGGCTTGGGATGAGTTGTTTGCGACTTTTGTGCAGACTGGTTCCCGTGCCCACCTAGCAAGGTCTCTTGAAAGCTCTGGATGCCCACTTCAAGGTCTGGATGGAGCCTTAAGG